GTTATTTGATGTATCTATCTATACGGAACAGGTAAGTTTGCAAGGTTCGAACCGTTTGAGAGAGAGAGAGAGAGAGAGAGAATTCTTTATTAAATACCGACAAAAAAAATTATGCGAAACATTAAATACAAAAAAATAGTACAATTGACGGTCTTATCGCTAAGAACGATCCCTTCTAGACAACCAACAGGTGGAAAAGAATCATTTGGAAACGAATTAATTACACTCGGTATACCAATCAATTGAAATATATACATACACACGTACACAAATTCCTTACATATATACATTAATAAATATACCTACAAATACACAATGTAACGTGATACTAATTTAGCTTCTTTACACATAAATAAAAATAAACAATTTACATATAAAACATACTTAAAATACCTATGAAACATAAATATACAATTGAAGTTTGGTAACACGCTTGTTGTATTTGGGCATTAGTATTATTCAAGTATACCACGAAACTCTCCATCAGGCAAAAGATAGAAGTAGGTGGAAAGTAACAATGAGAAGCCTACAGAACAGTCACGATCCTCAAAAATGAGAAAATGATTGAGAAGAGAAGTAGCAATGAAAATTCAAACTTCCCAGACAACCGCTACTGCAATTAAAAAACAGAGCCGCTATAGTCTTCACAGCAATCTACATTTATCCAGTATTCAAATAACCCAAACGCAATAAGATAAGATAAGATAAATAAGATATAGACAAACGTAATCTCTAGTTTTCCCGGGGTCGAATTAAAGGCCGATTTATATTATCTTAGCCGTTACAAGAGCGCGTAAGATGAGTGAATCAATGGCAACACGTTGTGATTGATGCCACTCACACTAGTAGAATTCTAGAAGTGATTCTTGCCGGAGGCAGGACATCGATTGAGTCGCTCACGGATCAGTTTTTTTCCTACATAAGCTGAGAGCCTTGAGAGGCTATATCAGCGTAACCTTAACTAGTAGGTGAGCTCACGGGTCTCAAACCTGATGACGTTGCTAACACGAACCCTAAAAAGAGCCGTACTTCGCAGAACCTACCACCGGATCGGAAACGCGACCCACTGAGAAGATCTGGCGAGAAACTCAGTGGGCTGTGTCTGAGGGTTAACGGATCAGTACAACTGTGCTGCCCATTAGAAGAACGGAGGACTTTGGCATTCCAGTTTTATAAATAGGACATCAGTTATACTGCATGATTAAGAACTCGATCTTTGAAGGCAAGTGGCGACGTATGTACATGTCATTATGCCTATGAGTTCCAATAACCACATTACACAAACGTCAAGTCATCTAGTTAAAAGTTTTCTTTCTGGATTGCTTGTGGCTTGTAGAGGCATTTCTGGCTTCCCCTGAATATCTAAACATACTCTAGAGTTCAGACGGGAGTGATGAGCAAAATGGAATGGTCGAAGAGAGAATTCGTTTAATTGTTTATCTATGTCTTCGAACTTTTACGTAAAGACCTTCATGTTACCCGAAGTTTCTACTATTCCGTTATTGACGAGGAAATAATACTCAAAGGCACTGATAAACGTGTAAAATCTCCTCGTAATACATCAAAACTATTATTTAAGCACTCAAATTTGCAGTAGGTTATTAGAACCTTTTTTTTTTGTCAGGAGGAAATCGCCGGACTCCCGCCCTCCACTGAACATGTCGGAGTCGAACCGACTAAACGACCTCCTGTCGCTCAACAACTAACGTCCGAACCTCGCATGACAGAGAACTCATGAAAAGGCAAAGGGGGGAGAGTGAAGCGTTTAGTGCGGAGCACATCTTTCCCATTACCCTCCTCCTCGGGACGCCGGACCAGCGGTCGTCAGCGCCACGACCATCAGCCCTCTTCGTTTGGCAAGGTATCCCATCCGGAGCCCGCCTAGATAGCGCCGGTTAGCGTAGATACGTTATTAGAGCCCTAGCACTAATATAATGTAATCAGAGAATAAATTACAAAGGATGGTCTAATGAGCTTGTCTCTTCTCAACAACCATCAGACGGCAGAATCACGGATCAGAAAAACGTTGCGTTGTAAATTTTTATTCGTACTTTATCTATACTAATATTATAAAGCTGAAGAGTTTGTTTGTTTGAACGCGCTAATCTCAGGAACTACTGGTCCGATTTTAAAAATTCTTTCACTGTTTGATAGCCCATTTATTGAGGAAGGCTACAGGCATAGATATAAGATCTAAGGCTATAGATATAACATCACGGTAAGACCAAAACAAGTGGAGCACCAATAAAGAATGTTTCAAAATAAGAGTTTAAATAGCTCCTCAACATTCTACAATTCAAAAATATTTTCACTTTCTACGGTAAATGAAGTGGGGAGTAAAATTTAGCGTTATGCCAAAGTAACTATTCCACGCGATGAGCAATAGACACAACTATTACAAAGTAGTCCGCCTCGCAATTAGAAATGCAACGTAAACTTAGTGAGCTAAGTCATTTAATGCGACTGCACGCGAAACGAGATTAATAAGAGCTCAAAGCGTAGCATAACAAACAAACAATGCGATCAATTAATCAAACAAGTACGGGGTAAACAATGTGGTTAATAACATGTTTACCGTCGTATTAATGTTCTATAACTTGATCAGTGTTCACTTTGGCAGCGTTTTCATGTACTTAACGTTATACAGGGCTGTTGATTGGTCTTTTTTAACCGACCTCAAAAAAGGAGGAGGTTCTCAATTCGACTGTATGTATTTTTTTTTATGTTTGTTACCTCATAACTTTTGACTGGGTGAATCGATTTTGATGATTCTTTTTTTTATTAGAAAGCTGACGCTTCACGTGTGGTCCCACGTTTAGTCCAGTTCTGATAACGGTATCCATGAGAAAACCATATAAGTCTTAAATTTGCATTAAGTACGTGCGCGACAAATAGATGAATAACTCAATAACTCACACGCCAACCGATTTCGATGATTATTGTTTTTAGTGTATATTAATTTGTTTTGGAATGTCTTCTTTTTTTTTTCTATTTGAAGTCGGTTTTTGTTAAAGCATGTCTATTTACAATTTTGTTTTTTACGATTCCCGATTGGTATTTATGCTCTCCAATTGTCGCTTAAGCCCGTGTAGATTGTGAGCTCGACCATTGTGGCCACTACAATTTTAAAGTCGTCGTGATCTAAAGGCGCCAGGTGCGAATATCAAGTATCAAGCGATGCAACAATTCCAGTGTACAAAATCTCGTAGACAGGTACCAGTTTTTCTGAGGAGATTATTCACTATTAGACAGTATTAGAAGCCGACTAGCCTTTAAAAAAAACGGGTGTCGCTTTTCTTAAGGGACTCTAATTACAATAATATCAGTAATTTATAATGATAAAACATCTTTACTATTTTTACGATTGAAAATCAAGTTTTTTTTATTGTGCTAAACAACTGTAAAATATGGACGATTAACAACAACTTCGTCGTCCGTGACGACAAAAACTTAAAAGTACTTGAGACGTCGGAAACGACTTTATAAAAAAAAAAAAAATTACCTTGATCGCTCTGTTTTGCGAGTACCATAATATCATCACGCCACAAACGGGGCACAAAAACACGTGATCTCACACGAAGTAAACTCGTAAACACGCAATGTATTCGAACTGTTATAATATATCTCTGTACTGAACCTTAAAATGCTGATATCCTCGAACCGCTGACTAGACGGTCCGAGGTAGAGACTTCAGAGGAGACCGGAGAACAGTCAGTCAGTAGAGAGTGAACTGTCTTAGAGTACGGGTGCGGCTGCCGGGATTGCTCTGAGAGTTATCATCCATATTGTGTAAATCAAATAAATAGTTCGTATGCTAAAAGTTTCCTTTTTTTAAAACGACCTCAGAGTAAATTCCCATAACAGAACGTACAATTTCGGAGAGAAGGTAACGCCGAACGCGCGTCATACGAACATCGAACTTGTTACAAAGTAAACGAACGTAACGATGATCCGGTAAATATTCATTTGGGCCGTTCAAAGCGAATCCTTTGCTGTGTAAGTTTTTTAATAATTGAACCGAGAGCCGCGCCGGTGCGATCTGTGGCCTCTTCAAATAGGGAATGTCTGAATTTTAGTAACTCCGCAACCGTTGACTCCACGATAATTCAAGTTAAGTTTACGTTTCCATTTGAAAAGCGCGATGAAGATTTTTCGAACTTCTATTTCATTAAGGATGTACTTTATTTGAAAGTAGCTTTCTTCCGCTCATGCATTTTACTGGTGATAGGACCTCTTGTGAGTCCGCACGGGTCGATACCACCACCCTGTCTATTTCTGCCGTGAAGCAGTAATGCGTTTCGGTTTGAAGGGTAGGGCAGCCGTTGTAACTATACTTGAGACCTTAGAACTTATATCTCAAGATGGGTGGCGCATTTACGTTGTAGATGTCTATGGGCTCCAGTAACCACCTAACACCAGGTGGGATGTGAGCTCGTCCATTCAAGCAATAACGAACAAAAAAATGCACTACTCTTTACATCGCGTGTTTCGAATCGCGAAACATTAAATTTTATTATTGAAATATTATTGAAATAGTTGAGTCCCGCGATATTACCCGCGTTTATTGTCGTACCGCGGGTGACGCCACGGGGCGAAGCTAGTCTAAAAAAAAGTAGCCTAAGTTACTCCTTATGCCATCAGCTACCTGTCAGTGAAAGTCCCGTCAAAATCGGTCCAGCCGTTCCAGAGATTAGCCGGAACAAACGGACAGATAGACAGACAGACAAAAATTGTAAAAAATGTTATTTTGGTGTATGTACCGTATATATATTCATATGCATGTAGTAAAAAGCGGTTATTTCAATATTACAAACAGACACTCCAATTTTATTTATATGTATAGACTAGGCCTATCCATTAAGTACGTGAATTTTCTACATGGATACCAAGTTTCAAGTCAATCGGATGCATGGTTCAGTAGTTATAACGGAACATCCGTAAAAACCACTGTAGATTTATATATTATAGTATAGATAAGAGTTAGGGTTGGAAGGACTCACCCTGATGGGCGCCGAGAATAGCGAGGAGGCGTCCGGCTCGGCGGCATGCGCCTGCGACATCTGGTTCGCGCGAGCCTGCCGCTCTCGTTCGCGGTCGCGCTCGCGGTCGCGGCCCGCCCACGAGCCGCCGGTCGCGCCGCCCGCGCCTCCGCCCCCGCCCCTGTCCCGGTCCCACTTGTCGTACCTGATAACAAATTTACACATCGTTCAAATATTAATGAGCATTAAAAATCGCCTTACTCTCGATTTAGTGACAAACGTGTCGGATTAAATCCCAATTCANGCCTGCCGCTCTCGTTCGCGGTCGCGCTCGCGGTCGCGGCCCGCCCACGAGCCGCCGGTCGCGCCGCCCGCGCCTCCGCCCCCGCCCCTGTCCCGGTCCCACTTGTCGTACCTGATAACAAATTTACACATCGTTCAAATATTAATGAGCATTAAAAATCGCCTTACTCTCGATTTAGTGACAAACGTGTCGGATTAAATCCCAATTCACAACATACTAGATCATTCAAGTTGAATTACTGGTGGTAGGACCTCTTGTAAGTCCGCACGAGTAGGTACTACCACCCTACCTATTTTCGCCGTGAAGCAGTAATGCGTTTCGGTTTGAAGGGTGGGGCAGCCGTTGTAACTATACTGAGACCTTAGTCTTTATGTCTCAAGGTGGGTGGCGCATTTACGTTGTAGATGTCTATGGGCTCCGTAACCACTTAACACCAAGTGCGCTGTGAGCTCGTCCACCCATGATCAAAGCATTCAATTTTTTTTTTAAGTTGATTTTTGTGAGACACTCAAGCAAAAAAATTTACGAAAACAAAAAATGTATAATTAAAAGACGATAACTTGCAATCTGATTTGTCTAAACGCAATACTAAACATAAGCGCGATACTGTGTTCATCGATATTGATTGTACGTAGGATGTAGGATTAAAATTTCGTACATCGGATGGTTCGACACATTACGTAAGCACATATAAAAACCGGCATATTTTACGTAACGGACATTTAATAAGACGTTAATAAAGATAAAGAGAGTTAATACCAGTTACGCAACCCCTAAACAGCGACACATTAATGACCAGTTTGAGGACCACACACACACTGACTTACATAATCGCAATCCGAACAATTTAAATACGTCCGCGTATTATAAATCAGTATTCTCTAGAGTTCGAGAATTATCAACATATTAGCTGACCCGGCAGACTTCGTAGTGCCTCAATCGATAAATAAAAGACCTAAACTTTTGTATGATATAAACTTAAAACAAACAAAAGGAATCCGTCCGACGGGGGACACATCAAAGGAAAAGCAAAATTGCTATTTTTATTTAATTCCGAGCATTTCATATTTATCTACCTTTTAAACCTTCTCTGGACTTCCACGAATAATTCAAGACCAAAATTAGCCAAATCGGTCCAGCCGTTCTCGAGTTTTAGCGAAACTAACGAACAGCAATTCATTTTTATATATATAGATAGATTATATTATCTCTGCTGTTCGCAGAGTGTTTTAAAATAACTATGCACGTGTTGAGAATTTTTCGGTTAGTTTTTATGAAGAAAAGAAAAGGCTCAGCACGTGTTGAACTCAATAAAAAAAATGGGAACCTCTAAGATGAGAAAGTATTCTATTAATTATTTATCGAAATGTCATACTCGTCGTTGTATTGGGAAAATTGAAACGCAAGAGAGTACCAGAATTGTTAAATTTGTACTGAAACCAAAACTAATAATCAGTTCTTTTTTTTTATGCCACTTGTAGACAGAAGAGCATACGGACCACCTGATGGTGAGTGGTTACCGTCGCCCATGCACTTCAGCAATGCTAGGGGCAGAGCCATGCCGCTGCCTACCATAGAAGTTCAGCTGGAGTCAACTATTACTTCCCATCATCCATTCATAGTTGTAGGTAGGGTAGCAAGTAGGCAAATACTTGCACACGACTAAACGCAGATGCAAACCCACATCGTATGACGCCTACGTCATCCCGCCTGACGCCGGTCACTGTTCTCGTCGAACCCGTCGCTTGCGACCAAGGGTTCAGCAAGTAAACTAACCCATAGACACAGCCCACTGAGTTTCTCGCCGGATCTTCTCAGTGAGTCGCGTTTCCGATCCAGTAGTAGATTCGGCGAAGCACTGCTCTTGCTAGGGCCAGTGTTAGCAACACCTGCTTTGAGCCCCGAAAGCTCGCCTACACGCTAGGGTAACGCTGATATAGCCTCTCAGGGCTATCAGGTAGAAACAATCGCGATTCTGCAGGATAGCCGTCGGAGCACCATGGTTCCAGAGGAACGTGGACCTCCACGATGACCTGGAGCTCGACCCCGTCAGTAAGTATCTACAGTCGGCATCGCTGCGCCACTTTGAGAAGGCGGCACGACATGAGAACCCTCTTGTCGTGGCCGCCGGAAACTACATACCCGATCCTGTAGACCGTTTGGTAAACCGTCGACGTCGCCCAAAGCACGTCATCACGGATCCTCCTGATCCATTAACGGTGCTTTTAGGCAATACAAGCACCGGTCACCGTCCTCGCCGAACCCGTCGCTTGCGACGAAGGGCTCGACGAGCGAATTAACCCACAGACACAGCCCACTGAGTTTCTCGCCGGATCTTCTCAGTGGGTCGCGCTTCCGATCCGGTGGTAGATTCTGCGAAGCACTGCTCTTGCTAGGGCGGTGTTAGCAATTCTCCGGTTTGAGCCCCGCGAGCTCACCTACACAAGCTAGGGTACGCTGAAATAGCCTCTCAAGGCTATCAGNAAAAAAAAAAAAAAAAAAAAAAAAAAAAAAAAAAAAATTCGGAGGCTCATTCGTCGTTCGTCGCGCATAAAAAAAAAAAAAAAAGGTAGAAAAAAAGAAAAATTACCTGACGTTTTGTACAGGCCAGTATTATTTATAGGCCAGTACTATTGTCGATTAGTTTGTGTAAAAAAGTGCGTGTTGTGATGATTTTCATTCAATGTAGTTACTATAATTAAACCTGACCAATACAAGAAATAAAAACCTCGCAATTGTTTATCTTCCTGCAAGTGGCTGAAGGCTAGCATATTTTTTACTAATTCAGTAGACATTGCTGCCGAAAGACGGTTTTACGAGTAATTATAGGCTCCAAATCTCAAAGGCCTCGCGTAGTTTATGGAATTAAAATGACTGTCCAATTCATTGTTAACTATTTATTTAGAGCAACTTATCGGTGTTTTTATAGGCGGTAATTAAAAGAAAGAAAAATAATTGCACGTGATTTTTTGTGATTGAATTATCTTCTCATAACTAATTTGAGATTCAAACAATAATTATGAATGTAAACATAAACAAATCACAAATTTTAAATTTTTTTTATTGCTTTGATCTCACGGCCCATCTGGTGTTAACTGGTTATCGGAGCCCATAGACATCTACGACGTAAATGCGCCACCCACCTTGAGATATAATTTCTAAGGTGGTGGTACCTACCCGTGCGGACTTACCAGAGGTCCTACCACCAGTAATTACGCAAAGTATAATTTTACTATCTTAGTAAAAGTATAGTTATACGGAAGCAGGCCAGAAATATGTGACAGCAACACTTACTTTCTCATTAATATTCAGAACACAGGGACAACCCGCAAAAAACTAAGTAACGTAAAAAGCTACGATAAGCAAACATGGTTATATCGAACTGTCGCGTCGATAAACACAACTTATTAATGATGTATCCGCTTCGAAACAAAGAGGCGCGGGAATGCGGTGAAAGTTTCCGAATACGCCACAGCGATGACGCTTTCTATGATGTTTACTTTGAAATAAAAGTTTTATTGAAAGATTTGAGTTGCAAAAAAGATATTCTAGCCACTTCATGAAATACGAATGGATCTTGAACGAATATCTATATATATAAAAACGAATTGCTGTTCGTTAGTCTCACTAAAACTCGAGAACGGCTGGACCGATTTGGCTAATTTTGGTCTTGAATTGTTTGTAGAAGTCCAGAGAAGGTTTAAAAGGTAGATAAATATGAAAATTCTCGGAATTAAATAAAGTTTAGGTCTTTTATTTATCGATTGAGGCACTACGAAGTCTGCCGGGTCAGCTAGTCAACAATAATTATAGGATCGAACCCACAATCTCTTTTATATCAAAATCGCCTATACTTATCCCAGTTTGTTAAATTTGTCGTATGAGAAAATAGTCGGTGAGAAGTGTTTGAGAAGAACCGAATACTGAATTTACTATTGGAACTAGTCAGTAGTAGAAATGGGCGTTTTGTATGATGCTAACAAATTTTAGGATAACTGAACCTTATCCTCCTTTTCTTAAAGATCATTTTCAATGTGGCATAAGCGACAAAGCTAATAAAAAAACGTTATATCTCTTTTACACGTAATAATTGAGACGATTAACAATTAACAAAAAAGAATTGGTTTATTGAAAGCTTATATTCCAAGGATAAACACGTTGAAGTTATTTTTATTCAAACCAAAAAGCTTGGTGAGAAACATAAACAATGCTTACCACTTATTATATTGAAGAGATATTTTTTTATAATTTTGTTATAATAATATTTAACATTTGTACTTTTTCGTGTGACGTACATAAAGAACTCAATCCCTTATACAACGAGAATATTGGCGCATTTGAAGCCTGTTCTTGAACATTGACGTCATAATGTGTAACAGTAGCTATCATAGAAGAGATGTTGGGAAAATTTCATTGGAACTTCTTTAGTTTAAACAATACTATTACTACTAGTAGTACTTACTACTACTAATTGAACAAGAACTACGGTTTTCACAAATCATAGATATAATTGAAATTTTGTAGTTTGCGTTTTGTTTTTCGTTTTTAAGTAAGACGTAATAGCATTTTTGTTTAGAATGGTAACTGTTCCAAATAGTAATTCAGGGTATTTACCATGCTAAATTCAGTTTGTGACCTATAAAAACAAATGAGTCGTACTCTGGATATTATTAAGACTAGCTTTCGCTCATTGATCGAAATTCGACCATAATCACCACCGACTTAAGATTTAGATTCTTTCAAAGCATAAATTACGCTTTTATTTTCTTATTGATATTTTTAAGAGAAATAAATACAAGTATAATTTTTTTTACACCAAATAAAAGAATAATGAAATTGATTGACGAACACGAAGAGAAAACGATACTTTACTGCTGTTTTAAAAATCAATTGACTGTTTCTAAAAAATTTTATTTATAATACGAACATTCAACAATAAAATCATAACTAAAAAAAATATCGGTTGACGAACAGATTCGAGAATGATAATTGTCGATTTTCTGTGTCGCCTATATGATTAATTCATTATGGATATAGATAGCTGTGGGAAGTTTACAAATAATCTGGATATGTACCTATTGTATTCGATTTTATAAAAAAGAGTGTGCTAC